AAGTAAGTAAGTAAGTAAGTAAGTAAGTAAGTAAGTAAGTAAGTAAGTAAGTAAGTAAGTAAGTAAGTAAGTAAGTAAGTAAGTAAGTAAGTAAGTAAGTAAGTAAGTAAGTAAGTAAGTAAGTAAGTAAGTAAGTAAGTAAGTAAGTAAGTAAGTAAGTAAGTAAGTAAGTAAGTAAGTAAGTAAGTAAGTAAGTAAGTAAGTAAGTAAGTAAGTAAGTAAGTAAGTAAGTAAGTAAGTAAGTAAGTAAGTAAGTAAGTAAGTAAGTAAGTAAGTAAGTAAGTAAGTAAGTAAGTAAGTAAGTAAGTAAGTAAGTAAGTAAGTAAGTAAGTAAGTAAGTAAGTAAGTAAGTAAGTAAGTAAGTAAGTAAGTAAGTAAGTAAGTAAGTAAGTAAGTAAGTAAGTAAGTAAGTAAGTAAGTAAGTAAGTAAGTAAGTAAGTAAGTAAGTAAGTAAGTAAGTAAGTAAGTAAGTAAGTAAGTAAGTAAGTAAGTAAGTAAGTAAGTAAGTAAGTAAGTAAGTAAGTAAGTAAGTAAGTAAGTAAGTAAGTAAGTAAGTAAGTAAGTAAGTAAGTAAGTAAGTAAGTAAGTAAGTAAGTAAGTAAGTAAGTAAGTAAGTAAGTAAGTAAGTAAGTAAGTAAGTAAGTAAGTAAGTAAGTAAGTAAGTAAGTAAGTAAGTAAGTAAGTAAGTAAGTAAGTAAGTAAGTAAGTAAGTAAGTAAGTAAGTAAGTAAGTAAGTAAGTAAGTAAGTAAGTAAGTAAGTAAGTAAGTAAGTAAGTAAGTAAGTAAGTAAGTAAGTAAGTAAGTAAGTAAGTAAGTAAGTAAGTAAGTAAGTAAGTAAGTAAGTAAGTAAGTAAGTAAGTAAGTAAGTAAGTAAGTAAGTAAGTAAGTAAGTAAGTAAGTAAGTAAGTAAGTAAGTAAGTAAGTAAGTAAGTAAGTAAGTAAGTAAGTAAGTAAGTAAGTAAGTAAGTAAGTAAGTAAGTAAGTAAGTAAGTAAGTAAGTAAGTAAGTAAGTAAGTAAGTAAGTAAGTAAGTAAGTAAGTAAGTAAGTAAGTAAGTAAGTAAGTAAGTAAGTAAGTAAGTAAGTAAGTAAGTAAGTAAGTAAGTAAGTAAGTAAGTAAGTAAGTAAGTAAGTAAGTAAGTAAGTAAGTAAGTAAGTAAGTAAGTAAGTAAGTAAGTAAGTAAGTAAGTAAGTAAGTAAGTAAGTAAGTAAGTAAGTAAGTAAGTAAGTAAGTAAGTAAGTAAGTAAGTAAGTAAGTAATATTGAAATATGAATCAATATTCCATGTACATAAGAGAATTACTGATTAATGTAAAATACATTGACATATTGTCATTCAATTGACATTTTAACAATATACTATATCGGTGAATAGATTTAGACTGTAAACGTTTCGTTCAATAATTCTATTCATATACATTATTATTAATAAGTCAACATATTTCTTGTTATATATCCCGACAAGGATTATAAATGGTAACTTTTGAGAACTATTTATAAACATATATCATAGGTATATTCTTAATGTATAACTATTCAGTAACTAGATTATGTATATCTATACTACTCTTATTACAAGCTTTATTTTGACCTATGAACTATTATGATATAATTTACCGTTCTTAAGTTATGCCCAATTTATTAATTACAGTCTACTTTATTCATAGCTACTTTTGACTAGATCTTGTATTCTATGGTGCGATGTGGTTTGTTTGATTTGTATATAAACCCAGTATGTTTGAAATATATGATTTTATATCGTACAGACTGAGATTGGTGTTCTGTACTTGACAGGCAGGGCTCGGCAGGAAGTCAGGACAGATAAAGACTCTAGACTGCTTGTACGAGTTTACGCGTCATTGGTCCAATCGATAAATTACTGTTCTCTAATTGGCGGTATCATTACGTGACATTGATTGGACACAAGACCAAAAGATATAGCACTTCTTAATATAATAAAATTTATTTTAGAAACCTTAGTTTTTCAAGAAAAAGCACGAGGATGACAATCATATACAGAACATTACAAGCATTTTCGGATAACACCATAATCTCAGATTGGTATTTTGATACTTTCTTCTATAGAACAGTTGCAATGTAGAATTTATGCTTAATACAATCATATAAGCAGCCAAACTCCAGTCTTCTGAAGTTTGCTGAAGCCATTGCTATCAGGCGTCAAAAATCTGACTTACCTGTTCAAAAGGAGATGATTGTTAATCTTTCCTTGCTTTGGTGACAAATATTCCTTCGTTGCATTTTAAAATTTATTTTCTTCTTTCGTTAAACTCTTTCTTGTATTTATTACATCACTAAGTCTTTTGATTCAGACTGTCTTCCAGGTTAATAATCTTATTTTATTAACTGGGCTTTACCCATTTTATTCTTATCAGAGTTTACTCATTATGTAATCACTTGTTTCTGACCGTTTGGACTGTTGTCACAATCAATCTTGTAGAATGTTCTTTTACATAAGGTACAATATTCAGTCTATTCAATTTATTTACACCCTTGCTATACTATAGGAATATGTCTTCAATATAACTTCCAACTAAACCCTCTCATGTAAGTAATTTACAACCATTATGTAAATGCCGTTTTTAAATATCACAGGTTGTAAGCAGCTGATGAGGACAAGACGAAATCAAATGAATTCATGCTATTCTACTAGAATCTTTATCCTTGTTCTTTTCAATCATATAATCAGCTAATTAGTTGATATTTCTATATTTTGTAGTATTTCTTAAAGTGGGTAGTTCAATTCTATCACCTTCATTGACATTCTAAACAATATTGTTACTGCATACTTCACCGTGTAACTCATTCAGAACCTTAAGTTATCAACTTCTAGTTTTAATTATTAGATTGTCTTAATATTGTAGCGGTAAATAAATCCCTAAAATAAATAGCCCAGTAAGTTTTCGACATTGGATGCTGACCATATGTTTTAGTGGACTCATCTAGCTGAAGGCGCTCGGTCATGCATCCGCACCAGATCACGTGTGGTAACGCCGTGCTCAACATCAACCGCAATCGCTAGCAAGATTAGATCAGAGAATTCCGATATATTGGTTATCGCCAAATACACTCTTCCGATCTCCTCGACTCTGTCTTTTGATTTCTCTGGATGGGAACGAAATATATTAGAAGGTGTTACTGGTAGAAGCGTTGTCAAACACTGAATACCTGTGACATCATCAATATCATTCATGTATTGTTTTTAATTATTTTTGATTGCTTTCATAATTCAACGTAAAGGAAGTCTATGTGCCTATTGAATTGTTGGCTCACTTTTTTCTCTTATTCTTTTCTTTTTCAGATTCTCTCATACATGCTACTTCTCACACTCTCACAGCAAACAAAGTACATTCAGGTATATGCAAACGTACTGAAGAGTGAATGTTACAACTTTAATCTCAAACTATCTTGAGCGTAACGTCACAGAAGAGATTATCTAAAAAATTTTCTATTGGTTGAGTTTCTACGTTTAACGATAACCTTTATCACAGATTAGTAAGGTACTGAAACATCAGAAGAAAACATGCTAAGTGTAAAATACCTGTTGAACTCGCACGATGGTGCCTTTACTACTGTGAGGAAGTGTCTATCTGAGATTGGTCAGCTTCTACATAGCATCAACAGGCTTTGGTGCTATGAGGTAAGAATGAGATGAGTTGTAGGATGGTAGACGAGAGGCATGATGAGAATAAAATATATAAATATGTGGAGAAATCCAACAACACAAAAAACATTAAGGCATTAATATATATAACGTTACAACAAGGAACAGACTCACAATATATTGTTTATGATATAAGCCCATTTCAACGCCTTCAGTCGAACCTATTTTCAGAAGAGGAACGTTATACAACCGTTTTATGACCTTTAATATGACTCCAATCAGGTCATATGATGTTGCTTACAGACTCACCACGTTTTTGGCCAGATATCTAACTCCGATTATGTCATATGTGTGATCGTTTCTGATTGCCATTGAAATATACATCCTCGCTATCCTCGTATATTTCATAGACTTAAATCGCGTTAGTGTATAACGGAATTAAATAAGTCGTATACGAGAATGGATTTTTGAATACAAATATTTTGTACACTCACTGATCTGGACAGACAACTAGAGGAACAAAGCGAAGGAAACGAACAGAACAGAGCAAAGAGTAATGACGAGCAGTGGAGATGGCGGGTAAGCCAACTCCCTTTTAGTCAAGCACTAAGCAATATTTATAGTCACACAAAAATAAGTTGCGGACATGTGGTGAATAGGATAAGAAGTGCAGACACCATACGCTCATATAAAAACAATCAACGTTGATAAGTAAATAATTAACAAGGTCAAAATATGACTCAAGTAGAATGGATAAATTGGCCTGTTCAGAAGCTAGAATAAGGTATATGGGCCTAACATAGTAACCTACACTACAACAGAATCAAAAGCGCGAAATCAAGTCAGTGTGAAACTCGATCAGCATGAGATTTCAAATATATGTTCACACATTAGAATATTAATTAACCGATGAAAAATACTACCCATTTAAAATTATGCAAGTCTGACTGCTAATCTTGAGAGGATAAAAAAGAAGTTCTATTGAGAAACTGTCTCTAGTAAAGTTCAACCTTATGGGATATGAGACAGTAACCCATTATAATAATTAGTGGTAGATGATCGCGCAACATCACAAATTGATAAACATTAAACTCAAGAACCGTCAGATAAAAGCTCACCAATCTAAAAGTCAAGGTCTCGTCAATAAACCAGAGAATTTGAGTCGGAATCCCGCTAGAGTCATGGTTACCTAGTCTTCACTAACTGATTAATCAAAGCTGATTCCGTTAAAAGATCTAAAACATTGTAAACGTATTGAGCAAATAATCAGTCGAGTTTTGTACCACTATAATTATCATTATTATTGCTATCCTCATTAACATAATCAAAAGTACAGATTTATATACCTTCATGTGACATCATCAAAACTACACACAATCACACAAACACACACACACACATTTCGATCATCAACATCAACTGATTAACTGTAGTAGTAACTAACCAATAAAAAATTACTACTCTAGGTTAATTATATGTTTTTGTTGAGTAGGTGTAAATCAGTAATATTAGTAGGCCTATATAAATTACAACTTCCAACAACTATTTCTTATTAACACAAACAAACAAAACTCATATCGATTTACAGTTGATGTACTGAACAGTTCAGTGGATTATTATTCGCCATATTCAAACAATACTAATCACAGTCAACAGTAGTAACAATGATCATTGAATTACGTCGTTTGGGTGTTAGTCTGTTATGCTTAGCAGTGGGTCTAAGTATTGCATCGTTGGTAACAAGTCTTTGGGATTGTGGAAATTTATTCTCAGGATGTCAGAATACTGTTCATAAGGAGACTGTATCAGCTGTTGCTGGCTTAATCATCTTAGGCACTGTATGCCTATTAGTCATCATCCTATTGGACGCCATTGCATTGTGTTCAGATGTATTCGCCTCACGTGCTGCTTATACAACTGTACGTTTCATCATATTATACTTGGGTGCTGCAGCTCTCTTGATTGGCATATTAGTGTACACATCATTAGTCGGACATCATTGGTCATACTTCTTCGCAGTGACTGGAGCTGTACTAGCAACACAAGTGGCTATATTGGCAATCATGTCGTCAAAATGTGTTACCGTTCGAACCACTACAACAACGAGAACAATTCGAGAAAGTCGTCTGGCACATCGGTAAACCAATGACCAATTCGTTTATTTTGCTTTGAAGCATTCAACCAATTTCCCACATTTTATCCTTTCTCTCATTCATGATCATTCTATTTCTCTTGTGACTAATTTAGCTTAAGCAATAACATCTATTGTATTGTATTGTATTGTATTGTATTGTATTGTATTGTATTGTATATTTGACAGTATTCAATGTGCATGTTGTGTTGTTACATGTCCAATGATTGCTTTACTGTGTGTCTTTCTAATTTAAATATCATATTGATATATAAACATTGTAATCGACAAGATCACTGAAACGAAGTTTTATTGGGCATTCAGTGTACGATTAAAATGAATCTGCCAATTCTTCACCAGGATATTATCGGTCAGTGTCAGTGTTATGTTTCATGTTTGGTTGAATACTCGAAATACACTGTATTATTCTAGTTTTCACGTGGTAACATCATATCAATCGACAATGATGACACGAACTCGGTTAAATCACATAGTTTGTGTTCATTTATTTTGAGTTCGGTGGTCTTATTAGATGAAGGTTGGTCATTTGAATAATCGATGTATAGAATTTTGTGGGTTAACCCTCATTCATCTGTTTCATCTCACTTTCATTGCCTTCAACAGTATGTGGCTTCCATAATTCAGATACTTTCACAAATTAGGATAAATCTGTACCATGAGTACTGTCAATCGATGTTCTTCACAAATACGAAACACGAAGAATGTATAGACTAGGGAATAAATAACACAGATTGATTTTTAGTGCTACTTAAACAGGGGATCATTTGTAACCATTGTGTATCGATTTTCGAGACGAATGTTCTGAGTGATTGTTGTTTGGAATTGTCAAGTCGAATGAATAAGATTCCGATCGACTGATTTTATGTGATAATCCGATATAGTCGAGTGTTGGATGTTAACGAGATCAAATTGTTGATTTATTGAATGAACGAGTAAGCCGATATCAAGACGAGATCACTGAACAGAACAATAGGTTGCTTATCGAACAAAATAACGTGTCAGTGTGCAAGTTATTAGCAGTAACATAGACATGTTTATGTGTTGAGAGGGATTGGGAGAAATCAGTTCTGTGTATCACTCACTGTGTAGTCACCAAATGAGACGTGATTATTAGGGCTAACGACTACCAATTATATAAATATCTGACTGATTATTCTGTATCTGCAACTGATTAGAATACCTGGAATAAATCGTGTTAACGTGATCTGTTCAATCGGAATTAACATCACATCGGTTTGAAAGTAGACAGATGCCAATCATTTAGAAGTGATGCAAAACGAACTGTTATGACTTTGGGACCAAACATTTTTATTGAAGTGCCTACTCAATCTAACAGAAACACTGTGTGAACTGTCGTAGAGAGGGATAAATTAAACATACTCCCCAAATAATCCACTCAAGAAATAAAGTGCCAGAGCCCATAGTCACAATACGAATCACTTGATTAGCTAGTTAGTAATTAATCAACAATCACCTAAACAACGATCGCACTCATTATTGAGTGATTGCAGTTGGTCGGCATGGTGACTCAGTTCTATGTGATGATGGAGATATACAGATACAACTAGATCACTACAGAAGTACCAATTTCCCCTAATGATCAGTCTTTATGTGGTGAATAGGATATTGTAGTGTGACACATTACAGACAGGAAAACGATTTCACATTCATACTCTGTAACTCTTGTGCATCAATGATCTATGCAAATATGTTATAACAAAAAGCACTACTCAGTAAGATGAGAATTGTATTTGAATGGTCACCACTTTGACGAACATTGAGAATGACAGGATTTATTCTAATGGAAGTTGAATTTCAACCAGTTGATCACAGTTTTCCCTACATGTGTTCATTTAATATTAGTGATACTAAGGAATGTGTCCAACCTAATTACATGAGGTAAGACACAGGATTTACTATTTGTCAGTTGTACAAGCCAATAATATCCTTCCGACATTTAGTTCTTAGATTATGATGAATCAACTTTTGATGTCTAACCATTTCACATTCACTTGTGGTCGATGATAATTTATCTGGAAATAAACCTCATAGGAATTGGCAAATGATTTCATCAAAGAACAGGTAATTCAGTAGACGAATTCATTTCAACAAGTTTATTTCCAAACTTGTACGTCTGCACATGTACATTGTATCTGAAGTACATCAATAAATTCTGTTTCTAGAATATTTTGATGGTGGCTCATCGTGAAATTCATGAGCCGATTTCTACCATGATTGAGGCTCACCAGATAGATATACATGTATGTGTGTATGCAGTAGAATTCTAAGTGGTATCTCTATAATCCAGTCAACAATCGAATGAAAGAGGAAATGTGAGAGAATGCAGTCCTGTGTGACACTTATCTTCATTTGGAATGCATATGTTAACTGCCATTCATGCAAGACTGTGCAATTGAGTCCCTGTTCGAATTCGTGTAAGATGATGTCTGTGTCCTCAGATAGTTCATGGTTTCAAAAAAGATTTCACAATGTTCTCCTATCCGCAATGTCTAATTCATCCTTATAATCAAGGGAGTTAATTTAGAGAGATGAGTTCATTTCGATCTATTGGTAAATCAGAATGTACATTGTTGCTATTTGGTCGATACATAAGCCGTCCTCACGAAAGCCAGTTCATTGATCCTGAAGTTCGGAATCTACTATATTTTTTACGCAATTAAGTAGCACTCGGTCTAAAAGTTTCTGTAGTGCTGATAGAATCTCCATGCCTCTGTTGCACTCACAGTTACTAAGATCTTCCTTTGGTTTATTGATGAAATATTTCATCTTCCAATTCGTGAGTACTTTTCCTCACTCACAAATTGTTGTGATGATAACGTGGAACATCTTTGTAGTTATCCCTATATCTAACTTCAGAATTTCAGCTTCTACGTTGTCTGGTTCTGTTGCGTTACCATTTCATATCTGTCTGATGTCCCTACCGATTTCTTCCACTGTTGGTGGTTTATCGTTTTTAAAAAAAAATGTGTGCGGTGGTTCGATGTTGGGTGGATCTATCTAAGGGCTCTTATGAGTTCTCTACCCACCAGGTCCAGATTGTACCGTACTTTTACAGTGTTGTCTGTTGAATTATTTAGTACTTCTTTTGCTCCTGGTGGTGATCTGAAGCTACATCAGCTCCTCCCTTTGTTCTCATGCCTCCTGTAGACATTCCGCAATTTTTATTCATCAAGATGTGATTAATCTGGTTCTCTGTAGCCGGGTCAGGTGAAACCCATACAGTTTCTCGCGAACGTTTTTGTTGGAAAACGGTGCTTAAAACAGAGGGGAATTGGGATCTGTACGACTTGGGGAGGAAGACGAAAACCGAGAGCACGTCAATAAATTTGTGCCTGCTACTGTTTAAATTTTGCAGATCAATAAACAATCATTTTGAGGCTGTATGCGCAAATAAATTTAACCTTAATTCATTCCTTTAAAAGTGTTTAACTAATTGGATAAACAAATCGAAATTTTGTACTTAATTGAAAGGTTCTTATACTCATTGAGTTATACAGTTTGAAACAAACTTCTGTAGAGTATAATTTATAGACAAACGTCTTCTAATAAACTGGTTACTCACTGTAATCGAAATAATAAATAAATTGTTGTAAGTATTGATAACTGGCTCTATGCTATTTTGAGTGATTGAAAGCAACTAATAGGATGACTATTTATTATTCACTCAAAGTTATATCATTGTTATTTATACATTGTATCAGTGTTCAGATGGAGTAAAATTATATTGGTGTATCACTTTCAGTAAGATTCTAACACCGACCTATTCATTTCGCTATCACAAACCAATTGACGGAATATAAAACCCTTCTGTCTAAATGTTAATACATACATAAAGTATTCATATAAACATCTCAGTCCTACAGGAGGTTAGTCATGAACTGAATAGATCAGTAGTAGTGTCTCAGAATTCAAAGATAGTTGACACTGATTCGAATCCAATGAGGAGTATCAGTTCCATTGATATCCCAAGTGTGTCTTGCTGATAAATTCCAGTTAATAAAAAACCTTGGTTCAGATCGTCATGTCGACTACCTCCAATCAACCGAAAAATGACTATATATATTCATATGATGTGCAAAATGAGACAAAACTCGTGAAACAGATTTCATAGTTATTGACAGTGAAATGTATTAATAAATAATATCGGTCCCATACTATTTATTAGCAATAAAATAGTAAAAACAATATGCGATTTGCCGAAATTTGCATCGACGAATTTCTATATGCCATCACATAATTAGGGACCTCATTATAAATATTCATGAAACAGTTGTAAGTAAACTAGCATTATTTGTGAATGAGTCATAGTGAAGATTGATAAGTCGGTTAGAGGGCTCATAAAACTCAGTTGTAATGTCTCAGACTGTGATATTGGATGAAATAGGGTAGAATTCCCGACTGTTGTTGCTATCTTGACGTGGTGGTCGTGCTTGCCTATCGTGATGAAGCAACCGAGCTATACTGACTGGAACAACCGTTCCTCAAGGTCCTACCATGTTAGACAGGTCAATTGGAGAGCGGTAAGACTAAAAGCAACAAACTGAAGGTCCGAAGGCGAAGTCGTACTGCTGACTGTACACAGGTGTGACAGCAGTAAGGTGTTTCCTTTAGACAACCAGCATAACAGCGATGCTGCCTTCCCACAAGGAGCCGATTTCTGCCATGTTTGAGGCTCACCAGACATATATACATGTATGTGTGTATGCACTAGAATTCTAAGTGGTATCTCTATAATCCAGTCAACAATCGAATGAAAGAGGAAATGTGAGAGAATGCAGTCCTGTGTGACACTTATCTTCATTTGGAATGCATATGTTAACTGCCATTCATGCAAGACTGTGCAATTGAGTCCCTGTTCGAATTCGTGTAAGATGATGTCTGTGTTCTCAGATAGTTCATAGTTTCGAAGAAGATTTCACAATGTTCTCCTATCCGCGATGTCTAATTTATCCGTATAATCAAGGGAAAATAAGGAATAGTTTATAAATTTAAAGGTATAATATGACAATTGAGAGGAATGATGAAAAGTTTGTAATATCAACAGACTGTTTTGTATACATTTCTCTGATTTTAATTGATGGACGGTTAACGCTTAAGGAATTCAAATTAACTTTTGATGTATTCCCCTTGAAACATTTAACTAAACTTTTTAAAATGTATATCATAATGGTTTCTATCATCAACCAATCCACGAAATTGCGCGACCAACTTCCGTTGTACTGAGGTAGATACCTGTCTCTACCCGACTATCACCATTGGATGCCGGCTCAGTGGTCCAGTTGGTTAAGCGTTCGCGCGCGAGGCCGAAGGCCCTGGGTTCGAATCCCGCTCGCGGGATTGTGGATGCGCACTGCTGAGGAGTCCCACAATAGGACGAAACGGCCGTCC